AACAGACATTATTCTTTTTTTAAAAAAACATATAAATGGCTTTAAAATAATTCCTTGATAAAAAAAAAATAGAGATTAAGGCAGTAAAATCGAATTGATTAAAGTGTCGAAAATGCCAGTAAATGTGTGATAAAAATAGAATAAAGAGTTATAATTATTAAATTATCATAAAAGTTTTAAGGTAATTAAGTTTATTTGGGACGATAAAAACAAAATTAATTAATATGTTCAAAATTGGTCAAATATTCAAACTTAGAAGATATTAGATGAAATAAAACAATATATACATTATTCATTTAAAAATAGTTCAGTTAAATTGAATATTATCTCGTTGTTGGTCACTTTTTATAACAAATATAAAATGTTAAGCTTGTGCTCTGAAAAATTTCGAGTTATCTTTCCACTTTCCTTCAGATAAAAATTGAAATAAGCCCCTACGAAGAAATTACACTATCTTAGATAGAAATGAAATAAGATAGCTTTGAAACAGAGCAATTGCAATGGATAGACGAAGGGTTCATCCATTATCAACCTGGTTCTTTTGCCGTTCTCATTTACTGATTTGAAAGGTCTCTTCCCTAAATATGTTAAGTTGCTTGGTCATATAGAAATCAAAGTAAAATTAAAAAGGTATTTATCTATCTTGGTCATTTCTTCAACTGATATTACGGATGTATGATTATTAGAATCTAATCTACAAGGAAGAAATAAATATATTAAAACTATTTTAACTAGTTACTTCTCATTATATTCCAAAACTAGCTACAGACCAATGTACGGAACTGGTAAAAAAAAAACATAGCTAATAGTTTAAGTTTCTAAAAAAATTTACTTGGAAAGACTTTATATAAATATTACTAACCACCTATACTTTTTCACTAAATAATAATACCAACTTTACAACACTAATTTTATTCAAGTCTACAAGCTATGGAAGAATTTATACATTCGGTTTTGATTAAACTGAAATCAATTTTAATCTCACTTTATTATTCTAACCTAATAACAATAATCGTAAAAGTTACAAATGAATTAAAACAGATATTGCTGATGCTGAATGGGCCAATCTTTTGCATAAAAAATTAGATCAACCAAAAAAAACCATTTGGGGTGGGGATTAATATTATATTATATTCTGGCTATCAATTACTTCGGACCGGTATCCCGTCTTTACAGAGAATCTTTTATAGAGAATGCAAATATAGAGGAACCTTTATAGAGAAAACAATTGTAGAGAATGTCGTTTATAAAGAATATCCTTTACAGAGAATGATTTTATAGAGAATTTATTTTGTAGAGAAACTTTTAAAGAGAAAACAATTATGGAGAATGTCGTTTATAGAGAAACTTTTAAAGAGAAAACAATTATGGAGAATGTCGTTTATAGAGAATTTCATTTATAGACAATGATTTTGTAGAGAATCTCGTTTATAGAGAATGATTTTGTAGAGAATCTCGTTTATAGAGAATGATTTTATAGAGAATTTATTTTATAGAGAAACTTTTAAAGAGAAAACAATTATAGAGAATGTCGTTTATAGAGAATCTCATTTACAGAGAATGATTTTATAGAGAATGATTTTATAGAGAATATTTTTGCAGAGAATTGTTTTACAGAGAATTGTTTTAGTGCGAATTATTTTATAGGGAAGGATTAATAATTTTATATTGAAGAAATTTACAGAGAATGATTTTATAGAAAATAAATTATTTTAGAAATAAATTTTCTCAAATATGACCATTTACCGTCTAATTCTTTTTTTTTGGCACTTATTAAACCAGATTTAATCTAATATAATTTATTAAAAATATATTTAAGGATATTTATTTGGAAAATCTACTCAATAAGAGGCTAAGGATATTTAATCTGGAAAATCTACTCAATAAGAGGCTTTGAGATTTTTTTAATTACAATGTAGAATATTTTATTATTATATATATTTGATGCGAAATATCAAATACATTTAGAAAAGGAAAACATCATAGTAGGCTTAAGAAAAATTTCCAAAAAAGCAATGTCCTACACCATCACTTGGAAAGCAATAAGATAAGTTGGAAAAATTAAGTTATTCACAAAAATAAATAATTACTAAGTTAGTAATAATCTTAATAACTTAACATTTTTATATGCATTAGTTTCTATTAGTGCTTTGCTTTAACTAGTAGAGTAGCAATTTTAAAAAAAAACTATTAGCAAAAAAGTCAGCCTTACGCCAATTTTTTTAGAAAATTTTGTCAATATTTAGTTGCTTTGTGCATTATTTTAATCTGCATGGCCCGGCCCGATTTTTTAAAAATATATTATATATTTTTGCCTAGATAATAATGGTGATTTAAAATATTTGGTTTTAAAATATATGGCCTGGCCCGGGTTTTTTAAAAAAAAGCTTTTTTGACCCGGCCCGTGTATTTAAAAAAATAAAATTTTAGGCTCGGCCCGGGTATATTTAAAAAAATTAAAATACAGCCCAGTCCGTGTATCCGGGCCGGATTTAAAGGGCCTGTAGGTCTCTGATTTATAGTGCGCGTTTCTAATTTCCCTGATAAATCTGATTTTACCAAATCTATTCCGAAGAGAATCTACCCAGGGAATTTCATACGATTTCGCCAAAATTTTTTGTATTTAATAATTTATAATGAAAATCTATATAATTTAGTAAAAATTAAGGTAATGGCGATAGTTTGATGGGTATTTTGTTCTATTTTTTGCATTTTAAATCATAAATTGAGCGCGTTTTATTAAATTTTAAATCTGATTTTGCCGAAAATGCATTCCAATATGTGTAGAATACCCACCCTATAAATTTCAGAAGATTTTATATTGAACTTCTGAAGAAATTTTAATTTACATTAATCTGAAATTTATCAGTAATGTTAGTAGCCTAAAAATCAGCTAAACCTAATTTGGCTTAACCGAAAAATCGCCTAAAACTAATTAGACAAGATGTAGGGACTGGGAGCTAGGCTAATCGCCCGTCTGCGTTATGCAACACTAAGCCTAGCCTTTATTAAAATTATTTTATAAATTTATTATGTAACGATATATGACGAGTGATTAACTGAGCTCCTTAGCCGATGCCTAATTTTTGACTATTCGTTTCCGCCTATTTTTATGCTAAGCCTAATTATGCTTAGCCGATTTTTGGCCTAAAAACTTGGCTAACCGTTTTGGAATTGCCTAAAATTAACCGATTGCCCAACATTAAGGGTGGGTATGTTACACTTATTCAGGTGCATTTCTTGCAAAATCAGATTTTTAAATTTAAAAAACGCACTTAATTAATGATTTTAAATGCAAATAACAACAAAAAATAAAACAATACCCATCAAACTATCGCCTTACCAAAATTAAGATAAGATCACTAGAGTACTGTCTAATATTCACATGGTAGGATGGAACACTGGGGGGTGGTTGGATCAATTTCTGTTGAAATCATCATAGGTCCGAAAATAATTGTATCTGAATTTACAAAATAAAAATGATAGTTCAAACTCTTACCTAAAAATTATACATCAATAAAATTTAAAATAATACACCTTTTTCTCTAAATTGATTTTAGTAAAATGAAAATTTCTTATTACAAGCCGTAAACTCCTTATCAGTTTAGAGAAAGATGAATCAAAAAGTTTAAAATGTTTTTTATAGGTTTTTTGCACTTGTTAAACATAACGGAATTCCAAATACAAACTACCCCTTTTAATTTCAATGTCTAACTTGAATTATAACCCCTTACCCTGTGGTAAAAGGTCCTGTTTAACATTGTTTGAATGGTTAAGTGTGCTTTTATTATTGGTAGATAGATCTGGTTATAAGCAAGTATAATTATCATTAATATTTAAATTTCTTCGTATCATTAGGACTAATTTATTCAACCTTTTCTGTTGAAAGGGGTGGGGGGTGTTTTTTTCAAATCCCGCATAAAATTTTTGAACTCTATAATTGTCCCATATATAATATTTCTCTATAAAATCAAGATCTACAAATAATTCTTTACAAAATAATTCTCTACAATGTAATTTTCTATAATATAATTCTCCACAAAATAATTCTCTATAAAAGTGATTCTCTTTAAAATCATTCTCTATAAACAACATTCTCTTTGAAGTCATTCTCTATAAAGGACATTCTCTATAAAATAATTCTCTTTAAAATCATTCTCTATAAATAACATTTTCTATAAAACCATTCTCTATAAACGGCATTCTCTATAAAATCATTCTCTATAAATTAATTCTCTATAAAAATTATTCTCTATATAAAACATTCTCTATATAAAACATTCTCTATAAAACATTCTCTATAAACTACATTCTCTATAAAACAATTCTCTATAAATGCATTCTCTATAATTGTTTTCTCTATAAATGTTTCTCTATAAATACATTCTCTATAATGGTTTCATAAAGACATGGAACCCTTCAGACCTATAGAAAAATTAGTGAAGGGAAATATTTATTACTTTTTTTACTATTTTATTTTTATATTATATAACAAACCTTTCGGTATGTAAATGACCCTAATTGGAGTAGGCTAATAAAAAATTTTATTAGTAATAATAAATTTATTACTTTTTAATCTATTTTTATTTAACGTAAATAGGAGAAAATTCATTTTTTTGTCTACTTATAGTTTTATCTTTAAAATAATTTAATATATTGTTTTTTTTATTAAATAATTTTTTTACAATTTTATAAATATGCTGTACCATAAAAATTCATTTATTATTTAAAATTTAAGATTAATAATTTATTTTTTTTTACCTATATTATTTATATATTTAATATTTATTATTAAATAGAAAGCTGTTCACCTTGCTGTCATCACATTCACATGTTAATTTCACGCTCTACATTTTTATCCCCTTTATTTAATAGATACTTAAAATTTACTAATTCTTTTTATAAAATTATGCACACATTTGCACTTAAACTTAATAAATTTATTGTAAATAATATTAAAAAAAATAATCAGCCTTTTTTATTATTTATTGATGAGTTATCAAAATAGAAAAAATATTTGTTTAAACTGATATGTTGAAAATATATTTAAAATTCAAAAATTCAAAAACAAATTATATTTGGATATAGGTGTTCTAAATATCTGAAAAATATTCGTTATCATGGTTCAAGGTAAATGAAATTTAATTTTTTTTAAAAAAATAGGCCAAATTTAGCATAAACTAACCCAAAAATTCTCTGTTTCTATTGGATCCATTTTTCTTGAAATCTGAATTTATGATCAGTTGACCGTAGATCATGGTTTATATGATAAATAGGGCCTTTTTATTTTTAGTTTGACGTTATTATTACCTATAATTTAGTCTTTAGACACTTAGGACTGTGAAATGTTATTTTCAAATTTAAATAAGAATCCTATAGAAACAAAAATTATGTCAATAAATTTGAGCTGATCGGCCTAGCAACCAGCTTTAATTTAATATAGTGATATATTGCTAAGGAGTGGTATAGGGCACCCCACCCCTATAATTAATTAGACCTAAAATATTTAGAAATTTTTAGAGTCTTTAGTGTAAACAAAAAATTCATTAGTATATTAACTGAGAGAATTATTTATTTTGTTCTGCGACACATTCTGTAAGGTATTTGACTGAATTAATTTTGCTTTCAGAGCACGCATCCATTGGATGGAAGATGGGGAAAGCTGTACCAGAGTTGTACTATCCATTTTTATCTGGAGTTTATAATTTCAGGTGAATTTTATTCATTTTATGTAAAATATAATATTTATATCAGATACCTACTGGCCCGGCCCTAAGCCCGGATGGCTAATTTTATTTTTTTTAAATAAATATTTTAAATCGCCATTATTAACTAAAAAAATTAAAAATAAATATAATACATTTTAAAAAATCCGGGCCGGGCCTGAATATAAAATCCGGGCAACTGTCCTGCTCGTACAAATGATACCTCTGCAGGCCTCTGATTTATATTATCTTGGAGAGCAAACATTTACACTAGCGAATTAACTTCAAAAATGGGAAGTTATTGAACACGTTTTTAATGTATTAATAAAACTTAAATAAAATATAATAAAACTTTTGTGGCCACTTCCTTGTTATGACCCCCTTTAGACCAATTTCCCCTGCCAATATATTAAAAGTCAAAATGTTTTATAAATTAAATAAACCATTTATAGCTTTATTACCGCAAAACTTAACCTTGATTAAGCGTGTTCATGCTCATCACTTTTTATCGAGTTATCATATTTATTTTGCGCAAAGATCCAAGCTACAATTGAAAATACAATTTGATTTTGATAAAATTAATTAACACAATAAGTCAGAATGTTTTTTTTAGTTTGGCGCAATCGATTATGGTTAAATTAATAACATTCAGTTTGAACTAAAGATCATATACATAATAAAGAAATGTTAGTTTTTATATTACAAAATAATTTTATTTCTTAAAAATTTGATAAAATCCTAACAGATGATTTTTTTTAAAAATGCATATAAAATTTTATTTTTTTGGGTAATTGAGTGGATTTTTCTTTTATAAAATTTATTTTCCAAAAACGGCGTTCATTGTTTCTCTTTTTTATTATAAAATTAATTAAATTTAAAACTTATCTAAATAGAGAGAAAAAAAATTACGAGGATAAAGAGACGGATAAGAGTTAAATTAAATTCTACCGAAGTAATTTGATAGGAAGAATACAGCAAATATTATATATATAACTTTTCTCTGTGAACCTTTAATTTAAAACGTTTTAAAAACCTGAGAAAAATTGTAAATGATAAGATTTCTAGTTTTTATGGTCGTTCGTTATTTTGCAGAAAGGAAGCGATAGTTGTATCTAATGGCGTAGCCAAAATTTATAGGGGGGGGGGAGATATTGGGGGTTTCGAAAATTCCTATTTGCTCTGCCTTTGACAGGATTTCGCCTATGATAAATTATTATTAAGTATTTTTTATTTTTCCATAGTTATTTTTTATTTTGCTTTTATAAAATATCTTAATCATCCATTAAGGTTATCTAATCGATTGTAAGCCCTAATTTTTAAATCTATGCCAATGATTAGTGTTTTATTAGTTCCTATGAGTGCATTAACCACAAAAGTAGCTAGTATAAGGGAAAATATTATTAGCAACAAATTTTTAGCCAACTATACTATTATAAAGCAATTGAAAGCATCTATTCTGGTTATTTCCTGACCAATGATGTATATATATTACTAGATTGGAGATTCATTCATTAAAAGTGTCCATACATGGGAGACAGCCAGCTCTAGCGCCATTTTGTGGTATGCACGCCTATTAATTGTCTTATTTATCATTATGAATGCACATTCATATCATTTAATCGATATGCAAGTTACTAAATGGCTCAAAATGCATTTAATAAATGAATCACCAATCTAGTAGTATTTATATACATCATTGATCCTGACTCGTTTTCTTTCTTTTTAAAATTCTTGATAGCTAATCTGAATAGTGATTTTTAAGATTTAAAAAATAAGAATAAGTACACCTTTACCCTGCATACATAGTTAGCGCGATTTCGAGGCGATAGGCATTTTTGTCAATATTTGCCCTGCAAATTTTGGCACTACTCTAACTGTGAATGCAGTTTTTAAGATATCATCACCTTATGCCTATATCTATAATTTTAAACCAAAATTTAGAATTAAGGATAAAATTTAACTTGAACTAGTACGCGATCTGAATACTTATAGCATATTATTTTATTTCGTTTGGACAGCATAAAGAAAAAACAAGTTATTAGCAAAATAAGAAAAAAATTATTTGCATTATGCCAGAATGGAAAATAAAAAGGAAGCGCTTATCTGGTTTGGAATCATGTGCTAGACTAGTAATTATTATTTTCTCATTTTTTATAATATTGAAGAGCTTAGATATATGTGTAAAAAAAAATTTGATATAAGTCCAAGTGAAGGAAATCTTCGTTACCACTGATTTATTATTTTTAGTCTGTCTTTCTGTATATATTTATGACACGACTTTGCCAACGGTAAAAAGAAAGAAACCGTATTATAAACAAAATGAATCACTGCAATTGAGGAAAATATTGTACTACCATAATGGGGGTTTTTAAAATTTTTTAAAATTTTAAATAAATGTATTTTTTCGTATTTTATTTTCATTTATTGTTTTATACCTCTGACCAGGAAATAATCTTATCTCTGACAAAAAGAATAGGGTATCCAATAGAAAGAGGGAATCCTAATTTCTTTTCAATTTTGAACAATGCCTATAAACATTAACCAAAAAATATGTCTATAATAGATCAATATCTCTATCAAAGTAAAAGAAATATGAAGTTTATGTTGATTTATTAATTTATACTAACGAAAAAGTAATATATCTTTTGATGGTGATGCCATTAATATTAATCCCATTAATATTAATGCCATTAATATTAATGAAGAGTAATGGCATCCCTATCAAGCTAATTAAATATCGAATTCGAAGCACGATAAAAAATCTATTTCGAAATATTTTAATTTATTTTAATTTCATTTAGCCCTTTCATTCCTTTTTTAAATATATTTTTAATTTTTTTTACATTTTATGTACGCATTTTAACATCCTCTTACAGATGTCTATGCAAGAATTTTACTATTGCGACGATAATTTTTAAAAAAATTTCTAGAAGTTACTCAAGAATATCTTGAGTTTCAGAAATTTATATAGCCAAGTTACAGAGAGTAGGTGGGGTGTAAACTGTATAAGCTCCCTTGGAGAATTCGCAAGTTTTCTTATCTAAATAGGTGTAAATTAAATATCTTTTAAAATGATGACTATATAATGAATTTTACAGAAAAACATGCATTTATAAAAAGAAGTTTAAAATCATAATTATAAATCCTGGCATCTGAAATTTTTAATATCATTTTATACCTAAATAATCGTGTAAATAATTTTTTTCATAATCATTTTTGTTTTTGGCTTGAATTTTACAAGAATTAACAAAAATTAAAAGTTTTAAATATAATTTTTTAGAAAAATGAAACCCCCTTAAAAGATGAAGCAAAATTTTATTTGCTTAAGATAAAAAAAAATTAAGAAATACAAAAAAATAAACTTTCAAGTTATAAAAAAACTGGCTGATAAAATGTTGTTTACAATGTTAAGTATATTTAAGAGTTAAACCCCCCCCCTCCATTTTTTAAATTTAGCTATACATCAATATTATCTTTTTAGCCGATTCTCTAACTGATGCAGTACACTATCGGCCGTTACCAAACACTGATACCAAAAATTATAATTGTTATTGAAAAAAAGGAAAAATAATCATCATTCTATTATCAAAGTTTCAATGGCAGTCTTCTCTCCACAGATATTCGCTAGAGTTACTCTTCCTTCCTTATTCTTCTCATTTTGCGCTATATTTCATCCTTATATATTTTAATTTTGGATTTTTTTTATTGTATATTTTTTTTATACAAATAAAATAAAAAATTAAGCAATTTATTTGAATGGTTCAAATTATAATTTTAAATAAAACCAAAAATTGCCATATATAAATAATTTTAAGGCAAACCAAAAATTGTCATATATAAATTTATCATTTAAAAATTTGATATCTATATGATAAGAAGCATAGGTGTATCCAAGATTTTGCTAGGGGGGGGGCACTATTAGGTGAATTTTTTCCCCAAAAATCTTATTGGAGATCTTTAGGTCCACTTATTGTAGGTCTTTGGCTATATTAGATTTTTATAAAAATAATTTTCCGTTTTCACTTTTTTTCTAAAAAATTTGAATTATAGTCGTTATTTAAAAAAATAATTAAAAAATGAAATTTAAGAGAACGGGCAGATTTGCGATGGGTGGAAAGAGAATTCCCCACTTTTTTCTCCATTGGTTACCCGCCTGATAAGAAATATATTAAATATTAAACAATAACAATAAATAAATTCAAAATATAATTTTAAATTTATTTAATTTATTAAAATTAAACATGTGTCTAATTTTTCTAAAATAGCAAAATTCACAAATATACAAGTGACATAATTGTTTTCTCCCAGTTCGTGGAATTAGCCTTTAAATCTCTTAAAACATGCTCAATTCTCTGAATATGTATCTTGTATGGATTGATCATTTGGATCGATAAAATTTCCACCATGATTTACGGAATAATGTTC